ACGCCAGTCTTATAACTATTTCGAAATTAAACCCTACTTAGCGGTTGTCTGACTGGGGCAGAATATTCCTTCAACTTTAACTAATTTTAAACTAATTTTAGACACTAATTTCAAGACACTTAAAAGATTTTAGGGACTATTTCAAAACATGAAGATTTAGGGGACTAATTTCGAAAACCTTAAAAGATATGATGGATTAATTTCAAAATATGAAGATTTGGGGGGACTATTTTCATCAAAATATGAATATTTGGGGGACAAATCTCAAAATATGAAAGATTTGGAGGACTACTATTGAAAAAGCCCATGAAAATGGCCAAGACTGTGATGTTTGATTTCAAACCTGTACAGGGGTTGCGGCCAACAGCATTCCGGCCACAACACCTCCAAGAACACGGCCGTCGGATCCTGCTAGTGCCACACTCAAGCCACCGGTTCTGCTGCGGGTACCACCAGTTTCTGTGAGCAAGAAAGATCCTGATAGAGAGATGATTTCGAAGCGTCCCTATGTGAAGGTTACTGAAGTCAGTATTCATTTTAATAACTTCCTATTTAGGCAAATACTTTGCAAAAAGGGGAAAAATTTTCGTGAAAGAATAATTCTGCTTCAGCTAATTTGATTTGCTAGAAAGTCAATGATCAGCTAAAGGTTAAATAAGAAAATTGCATTCTTCTCTTCATATTTTCTCTGAAGAAATATGAAGAAAGCAAGCATTTTATCCTACATGAAGATTAGTATTCTCGCGTAAAGAAAGCACTTCTCTTTCAGCAAATGCGCTATACTCAAGTGAAAAAAAGCTTCCAAGTTCTAACCATCATTTGTGAGTGTAAAAACTGGAGATGTAATAGATTACTTATGCCAGATCCTTTACTATTTTTATGACCAAAAGAAATTTTGCAAATGACTTAAGACATGAAAGAGTGCGCCATAAAGTGACCGAAAAGTCAAAAGTCTGATCAATTTCAAAGCAATTCTAATAGATATTAAAACAGGAAATTTATTTTCATTCCAAGTTTCTAACCTCGTAGGTCACTGTTCCACCAGATGTAGCAGGTTGGCGAAGTGTAACATTGCAGATGGCACCATTTGCTGAAAGAATACAGACGGTTTGTGGTCCTTGCTGTGAAAAGGCCATAATTTTTGAAGCTATATCCTATAAACACAATTGGCATGCAAATGATCAGTAGTGATGAAGGAAAAAATTGTAGACTAGGCATTTGGAGCTGGATTTGACTGAACTGTGATTCTTTAAAAGAAATTAAACAAATAAACATTGTCATTTCTTGGCTGGGATTAACACAACATCATATATGCAAACAGAAATAGATAGGATTTGAAGGAACAGGAAGATCACAAAGTTGAGGAAGAGAAAGGACTAAAGACAAGCAAAAATTTTAAGAGAGATAGATTCTTCATTGTCAAGAATTCATTCTCCTATAAATAATAATCAGCTAGTTGTTTCTACATAAAAATGGATGATGGTTGTTTTTCTTGCCTTGTTCGTGTGGATATGACTTGAATGTATCGTCTGTTAGGGGTACAAATGCAGGAGTTTTATATTTGTTACTAAACATGTAAAAGTTGGATGACCAAATTTGTTTGCTAGAATATGTAGGACATGTTCCCTGACATACCCTGACATTAAGAAGCTGTTTACTTCGCTGCAGTGTAATTTCAATGCAAGCGCCAGTTACAAGTAATTGCATATGCTTTTGTATTCAACTGCAGATGCTGCGACTGCTGTCATGCAGTTGTAGTTGTTTTCTTCAGTTCGCTAGTAGTAGTTGTATTTGTTTGGTGTATGAAATCTTTTAGACTTGTGTAGCGGTTCATTGCAATCGGAGCCAAAATACTTGTGTTGAATTGATTGCAATTGGAATTATAAAACCAAAACAGATCCCATGGTCCGGAATTTTATATTCTATAAGCCAAGCAACTCAACCTGTGGACTGTTACAGATTCCTGTATGGGTCATGAATGTATATGGCTATAAATATTGAATCTGAATTTAGAATGTATAGACCAACAATGAAAGGTTTGACTCAATAATATTGATCTCGAAGATGTATTTTCATAGGTGTGTGTAATTAAGTTACACCCTGTGATCCACCGGGGTTCGCCAAGATGGCTGTGTGGCTATGCTCCCTGTTCTGCAGTACCGGGTTCCTGCCAGCTTTCTAGAAATTGGGAGAGTTTTCATGTCGGCACCAATTACCCCACCGGTATACTATTTTCATATATGTCAATGATGCTATAGTATATATTAAGTGTTTACATATGTATAATTTAACCAGGTTGGATATACTATATCATATTACAATAACATACTAGATTCATGCATGGCATCCCTATATCCAGTACCCATAGCTGATCCCTTTATTACTTGGATCGTCAAGTGAACTAGAGCTTAATTATAATGGCTTCAGGAAGCAATCATAGTTTAGAACTTAATATGAGCTGAATCCAGGACATATTGTGGGTAGCAGTTAGCCAAGTCAAATAAACAAATCACATCCTGAGATAATAATTTTGGAGATCACTTCGAACTGTTATTGTTCCTGTTTCAGTAGATAAGTCTTAAAGATCTGTTTCAGTAGATAAGTCTAGAGCATATAACCAAACAGTATTAAGCACATAAAGAGGTCTTCAACCCTGCAGATATTCTATTAAGGGCTTTGTTAACTGAACTAACTTTACAATCTAAAAGCATACAGATTTTCAAACAAAATTCAAAAAATCATATAGATCTCGAGAAAAACAACACAAAAAAATCCAAAAAAAAAAAGTCAAATCTAAACAGCTATCAAACAGATCTATGCCGTTTAATTTTCTCTTCGTCCATGATCTATCTATTTTAACCAAGAAATTTTCTGTATTAGTTACAAGATGCAGAATCCACCTCATGCAACTATTACAAAGCCAAGTTTACTGAAGTTTTAAAATTGTAAGAAATTACAAAAAGGTTTATAAACAGATCATAATTATACTAAAGAGTCTATAAATTTTCAGTGAAATAAGAGTTTTTTTTACTATCACTTTTTTCAAATTCTCCCATAAAAGAAAAAACGATCAGTAAGCTTATGCGAAATAAAATTAATGCACAAATGATATTCCAGTTATCATCGGTTATTTTCCTGAAGAATATATAACAGCACCTCACTAAACAGTATTATTCAAATTGTGTATTGTCCATCAAATTTAGGTTTATATTTCCTATATACTAATGCAATTATTTTATTTCTTTCTGTGCCCATTCATGGATTCTTCATAAACTAGAGTTATTATGAAAAGTTATTATGCAATTCAATTGATGAACGAATCATCTACAATGTCCATATATAATTTTAGTTTCACCATCTCGCAGAAACATCTGAACAAGCTATGAAAGTACAAAGTAAAATATGTAAAAATAATCAAAAACTATTTGTGAACAAGCTTGAAGCTCTGCTGCTAAGTACAAAATTTCCAGGAAGAAAAATTAATATTAGACGAGTCCCTCAAAATGTTTCAGGCACTCCATATAGTACTTATACCATATATCCACTAAATAAAAGGTCAATTGAAGTTCTCGACTTCTCAAATTCTGTGATTTCTTTCTTATTGATGTCACCAGAATGGGTACAAACAATTTAACTGTAAGGATGACAATGATGAAAATGCCTTTACCCAAAACATACTGGAAGGACAAATGTAAAAATAGATAAAACTATGACACAGCACAAGCTTGAGTGCTTGGTAGAAAAAATTTGATCAAAAGTTCAAGTTCAGTGAATTGGAAATTTTAACAATTGATTTGTAGTACGTCATAGGATTGCCACATTGAGTTTTAACCTAAGAACTGTTACGTAGGCAAAATGACTTAATCTTAGAGAGAGATACCAAGGTTTGTTAGTATGAAAGCAAGTCGGATAAAATTACACAACTTTACAGTAAGAAATTAAGAATAAACAAACTACTCTAGTATACTAACTACTTTAATACTCCCCTCAACTGGACAATACAAATCAATCATATTTAACTTATTAAATAGAAGTATAAGACTTTTTATAAACAATGTCTTAGTGAAAAAAATATATATATTACTAATCTGACCATCCGCACTAATAAAAGGAGTAACTCTTCTTGTCTGCACCATGTTACAAATGAAGTGATAACTAACCTCCATATGTTCGCAATACAAAATGCATCAATATCAACCGCGAGGCAAAAGCACCACTATCTTTCAAAAAGAGACCGAACCCGTGTCATCTCGCAAGCAGTGTGAATAACATGATATTCACAATTGGGGTTGGTGGACTAAGGTTGAGAAAGACAGATATAATAATATTGGATCTACAAGTTCTGCGAGGGTCTGGTAAAATGGAAATTAGATAACTACTGAACTAATCAGTTATTATTCTAATTAAGCTCAAGAATAAACATTTTACCATATATAGGTTCTGTTGATCAAACATATCAGCTCTTTCCGGATAGAACAGTTAGTACAACTTTGTCATAAATATATGCATAATACTAGATAAATATGCAAAAATTATAATTCATCCTCATATGTAAGAACTAAAAAGGTATCAGAACTAGGCATAAGCAACATGGTAACAAGATGAAACCTGAAATTTGTATATAAGTACATTACAAGTAAGAACTAAAAAGGTATCAGAACTAGGCATAAGCAACATGGTAACAAGATGAAACCTGAAATTTGTAGTGAATGTATCAATAAACTTCACATGTTCATCTTAAAATGTAAGATACCAATAAAGGTTTACATATTTATCCTATAACATTAGTTAAACAATTAACCGTCTAACAACTTGTGCGCATTTTGGAGAAACGTGGATGCCAAAGGTAATAGTAAGAAAATGGAAAATATTAGAGATAGCACCCAATAAATATGTTTAATGCCTTACTTATTAAGGAGCAGGATTTCATCCAAACATGAACTCTAACTCATGAAATTTGCAGTTTTAAGACAAGTTGATAATCATCGCAGTCACCACCAAGGCACGAAGGCCGCAACTTGATGAGAAAACATTGTAAAATGGCAACATTTGCATCAATAATTATCTTATAATGAGGGATAAATTTTCCCACCCAGACTTTACCACAAAGATTAAAAAAAAAAAATTTGTACTGCAACAATATTTGATGGACGAAACTAGGTATGCTCTTAACTCATTGACAGCATCACCATTAACTAGTACAATGTGGCAAAGCCAATATCAAACCTTATGAAGAATAAAATTTATGGTACTAATATCAATACCTAGTAAAGTGGTATTGGTACTATCACCAACAAAGACTGAACACAAGTTTTCATACAGATCCTATTTGTGGTGCATTAAAGTGCCTGGGTGGAAGAACTTGCCCTAGCATCACAAGTACGAGTTTTAATTAGCAGGGTTGAAGAACTTGCCCAAAATTCACAAGTAAGAGTTTTTATTAGCAGGGTTGTTACAGTTTTTTTGGTCTCTGCAAAGAAGAACTGCCAACGACCAACCAGAATTATCACTTTATGAACCTACAAACAAGCTCCAGCAATTGTTATTTGGGGCTTAAAATAACAAATACCAGCCCCAAAAAATCCCGGCTTTATTGATTTTTTAAGTTAGCATTATTATGGTTTTATTTTTCCTCCTTCCTGAGATAATGAGTCTCCTATTTCCATCAGTGCAACAACTATCCAATGTGTTCTAAATCTAAATAAAATCCACAGTAAATTGAAAGCATGCTTGCTCCTAGAAAAAGTTAGGTCCAAAATTTGTCACTCAGTTAGTTTTTCGCAATGGAGGCCACATTTAGTGGTTTCTAAAGAAAAATATTATTACATGATGTCTTAAACTATTAACAACTTGCAGATAATCATAATGCATCATATCTTGATATATCATAGATATTAATTCAACAACTTCAAACAAGGTTACAACTTATGAAGCTAATTCTACAATTAACAAAAGAACCATATCTTTACATTTGATAAGGTTTGCAACTCCAGTAATCTACTATATGCTTAAAGGAAGATTCAAAGATTTATTGTTCATGCTACAGTACCTTTTAAGTATAGAGCAGTAGATATGATTTCTAATTTTAAACATACAATAGTCAAATCAAATGTATTAAACCTTAGAGAGAGGCAGGTTCAAAATGCAATGCTTAAAAAACAGGGGGCCGTGCTTTGTAAGGGGTACATACTAGTACATATTTAAACATTAACCTAAGATATTTAAACAAGAGGCAAGAGACAATTTAATTTTTAACTACATGTTACATACCTCTCCAGCTTTAACAGTGAGTACATGTGGAGTAAAACAAATCCCTGCAGAGCCTGCAAGTTTGAGAATAACTAAGCATGCTATCAACAGTTTTGAAAATAATTTATAAAAGGATCAACATGCAAAAAAGGACATGGTGGTATACAAACTGCATTATCATGCATTTCAGCAATAGAAGCTTCGTAATATTCATGTTCTTATACCAAATAAGGTTTAAGTTAAGGTTCAGGCATAGATCATGTCGACGCTAATTATAGTCTGCGTCCTGTTACTATAAACCTGAGATATTCATAAATAAGGAACCATGCATAAGACGATGAGTCATAATTGTCTTGCATAATATAAAAGAAAATAATAGAAAACCAAAATAAAATTTCAAACAGGAAGGCAAGATGACAAAAGGAATTATACTTCAATCAACTGAATAAAATCCAGTCTACTTGTCCATTAAAATATGAATTTAACAAACAATTAAGCTGTAAAAACTAAATTAGGTTGGACTAATAAGCTAACTGTCGTCATCTCAAACCATGAAAACTTTTGTTGGTGTTTATTGAGGTGAAGCACGAAAGGACGAGAAACCCAGCCAACTAAAACATCAAAATGAACTAACAAAATAAGAAAGGTAGGCATCTCATGACATTATATTCCTTGGAGTTGAACAAATAGTATCTGCGATATGACAGTATTGCAGCATTAAGAGTGTCTCAAACCTCGTAAGCCTAAAGAAAGTAAAATATATCAATATCTGGAATGTAAGAAATAGTAATCAGCATACACAAAAATGGTAACCTACTCTTCATGAAAACATCTGACAGAACATAATGGCCGAACTATTTAGGATGTAAAATGCTATCCATTATGCAGGGTACAGCTTGCAAATTATGTATCCAATGTACAAGTCATGCATAAGTTTACTCAAGGCAAATATATAAAAAGGGTTATTTGAATTTAACTACCCTAACATTTTACTACATTTTTTACTTTGATGCTCCAAAGTTTTTTTGCCCAAAAAGTACACCAATGTTTACCTCATTTTTAACTTTGATACTCCAAAGGTTTTTATTCCCGAAGTTCAACACAATTAACTTTGATACCCCCAAACTTTTACAGAAATCAATACCTTAAATTTTAACAAAAATTTGAAAAAAAAAATTATTTAAGTTTGGGATATCAGTATAAAATTTTGTTAAACTTTGGGGTATTTTTTGGGCACACGAATACTTAGGGTATCAAAGTTCAATTTGTTAAACTTTTTTGGGTGTCTTTTGGGAAAAAAAGTTGGGGTATCAAAGTTAAAAGATGAAGTAAAGTTTGCGGTATTAAGTGCAAATACCCCTATAGTAAACCATAAAAATAAATTATGGGAGCAAATATACTATCATTGCGAGGTTATATTAACAGTTTTATGAACAATAAAAATAATACATGGCAAGAAAATTTATAGTATGAAATCCACTAAGAGTTCCAAGAGATGCATATGGTATAACATGGCAGAGTATGTTTAATATAGTGTTCATTCATTATGCTCAGAGCATTAAATATTGCACCACATACAAACATATGTTTAGCGTAGTGTTCAAACATATAAATGGCAACATAAGTTGTAGTTATACCCAATGCATCAAGTTGTTGCTTCTTCCCAGACCCAAGAGGACGCCCACGCTTTTTAACACCCAGTTCCGACATGGAACTGCTATTGGGGTTTGACATCAGACTACCATTCAGATTCGAATATCCCGAAGATGAAGAAACAGGACACAATGCCAGAGCCATATTCCAATCAGGCCCATACTTTCTTGGCCTCCCCCTCTTCTTCTTCATTGGCCCTCCCATACTAACCACACCACATTGCCTCACGCTAGGCACGCTGTCCCCTTGGTACAAAGAGCTCGAGCCATCCATTTGCTTCGACCCGGAAGACACCATTTGGCTGAACGATATTCTCATGCCGGGCATCATCCCGCCCGAATTAGGGATCACCATTGAACTGTTAGGGTATGAACTGGGGCTCACTATCATGCTCGGAGACTCTGACGAGCTCATTCTTGAAGGTTCTCTAGCATCCATTCATAGAACTAATGGCAGTAGAAAAACCCTGAAAGAACCTGCGAAATAGAGTTGAAAATATCATAAAAACCCTCAAATTTTGGATCTCTTTGTCGAAAGAGTTAAAAGAAACAAAATACGAGTTAGGGTTTTGTTCAAACTCGACCTTCCAGATCTACGAACAAAAAATGGGCATCAAACGAAAAATTCCCAATTTTAACAAGATAGAAGAAAAGGCATCGGAAAAAACCACCAAAAATGGAAGGGAGAAATTCGAAATTAGCCAAACACTTCACAGAAAGGAGAGATACTGTACCTAAGAATTAGCACCCAGAACTGCGAAAAGACGACCTCCTTAGGGTTCTAAATGAGAGAAAAAAAAATTAAAAGAAAAGGGAAAAAAAAAACCAAAATGTCACCCAACCCTCACACCACCAAACCCTTGCCTATCATCATCATCATCGGAAAAGAAAAGAGAGAGATATGAAAATAAATATATTATTATGGTGCAAAATAAAATTAATTAAATTTTAGGAAAATGTGATCAGATAGATCACAGCCGTCCATTTGACAGCTGTAAATTGTAGAACATATTTTGATCGTGTGACTAATATTATACAAAAGCTTTGACAGCTTTCATCCCTCGCGCATGCTGCTATTATATAGTTTTTGGTAAATGGCAATTTTTTTAATAATAATATTTTCATATTTACATTTTTGTTAGATTGGGTACAGACGAACAAACACTTTCCCTCTCTTTTAACATTCAAATGCGGGAGAGAGACAAGGTAGATTAGGCCACTAGGTACTTGGCAAGGCTTCAAGGGAGAAAGAGCTAATAGAATGACTAAATTTAATTAACCCGTCATGAAGAGCTAGAAATAATTAAATTTTATTTGGATTAGATAGTTAAGATAAACTGATAATATTTTGGTATTTGGCAATTAAAGAAGAGTTAAGGGTGTTAATGTTACAGAGTTTTTTTAAAACACCAACTTTAACCTTATCAAAGATAGAAAAAACTACTAATACTTGTTTAAAAAAATTACATTCGCTCTCTTCAAAATGTGTGTGCAGAAAAAATTAATCAAAATTTGTAAGTTTACTAATAATTATTACATGAACATAATTTCGAATGTGAGATTCACTATTAAATATAATGTTAAATTATTTAATATACTATTCATATGTAATATGGTTTAAAATGAATAAAGATTATTGTCATGTCATTTTTTCTTTTGTAATTCAAGAGCACAATTGTCAAATCGAACACTTATTTCATTTTTGTAAATGGCTTTCACATTTTTAATCCACTTTCAGTTTGCTAAGCACCGCTCAATAATCATGTTTTCTAAAGTACCACAAGTTGGCAACATGTTTTCTAAAGTATGGGTCATCTTCTTTGATTGTCGGCCTATCTATTGACCAAACTATAACTAAGAGGCTGTTTGGAAAGGCTTTTTTTGTCAAACTAGCTTTTAAGCTAGCCTTTTTATTTCTACCTGTTTGGTAAAATGCCTACTAAGTTAGCTTATAACTCCCATTTTAAAAAGTTGGTATACCCCAGCTTTTGAAAAACTAGCTTATAAGCTCATTTAAAAAATCTAGGTTTAACCAAACAAATTACTATTCTACTCAAACAATTTTTATAGCATTTTTATCCAAAAAGCCAAAAGCCACTAAAAGCTAGCAATAACTTAAAAGCTTAAAAAATAAGCTCTCCCAAACGCCCTCTAAGTGTCATCCCAAACTCATCTAAAAGCTCTGCCAAAACCTCGATATGAACCTCATGTCCTGATCTGAAATTATGTTAACTAGAACTCCATGTAGTCGAACCACTTTTTTCATGTATCGCTCTTCTAGCGACTCTATCAATTTCCCAAGTCAAAAGGAATGAAATGCACTGACTTCATCAAATCGTTCAAACTATGACTAATAATCATGTTTTATTGTATTTTCATACACATATTTCAAATAACTTTCATACAAATAAATGATTAATATTATGTTTATCTTGTTTGTAGGAAAAATAAAGAAAATAAATAAGAGCTAAAATAAAGATATCTTAAGCCCAAGAAAAACCCAATTAAACCTCAATGGAACCCAAGAAAAGCCTAAGAAAAATTGGAGCAAAAATGACAATGATAGCTCATCGTCGGATGTACTGTAATGTGCTTCAAGTGGAAGTGTATGGGGTAATTTTGTTTGATTGAGATGAGAATTATACAATATTGTCTGCCTTTTATTACGAATCCGCTAATGAAAATTATTACAAAAGTAAGGGATACAAAAAAAATCAGAATCGCTGACGATACAGAAACTTGACACGCAATGCACTTAGCCATCCTAAATTCACATGCCTCAAAGAGCACCCTTCAAGGCTCGCTCCTTCAGAGCCTCAGGATCAGTTGGAATCACTCGAGCTTCTATAGTTTCTCGTCGATCCCATTCCATCTTCAAGAGCTCGATCCTATGCGTTCGCTCAGCAATTAATGCAGCAGATGTAGCCTCAAGCTCCTTTTCTGCTACTGAGCTGCCTCCAATTTAGCTTGAGCTTCGGCTATAATAGCTTTAGCTCCATTTATGGTGGCCTCATTCTCAAAGATAGAACTAGTAATTTTAGTGTTTTTGCCATCAATCTCCGCGAGATGGATGGTTAACTCCTGGAGTCGTTGGTTAATCTCTTCTATCTCATTGTGGGTCGTATCTTCAAGTTTATGGCATTCTGTTGTAAGACGATGAAACTCATGCTCTACAATAGCAGTGACATCAGCTTCAGGAAGATGTTGCAATTCCAGAAAATGAAGTTCAACTTCATTAATCATCTTCTTGTACGGTTCGATACGTTTGGTCCGAGCAACCGAAGCAAGGATGTCGAGCTGGTTCCACAATTGATGTTTGGGTTGGGAGGATAAACTTTTTCCGGCAGCCAGGGCACTCTCCACACTCTAGTGGAATAGCTTCATCAAACTTTTAGTGAGAATTTAAATCTCCAATTTTGACGACTCTCAAATGTCAGAATCTAGAGATAAAGAATCCTACCATCAATTTCAATAGGTCTGCTTCAGCTACTGTCTCGTTAGGCGTCACTTGTAGTTGATCCCCGCCTGGGATAAAATACAGAGTGAGTGAAGTTAGAATATTAAAGATATCAGTTGGAGCTAAAGAAACTAAAGTGGTCATAGCAAAGACTGAGAGAGCGGTATGTCTAGCGTTGCTATGGTGGTTGTAACTGAAGGCTTAGAAGGTGGTATGTCCAACACTGCTATTGCGGTCATGACCAGAGATTCAAAGCGCAGTGCATTCAATATTGCTAAAGGTCCAGAATGTTGCATGACCAACATTGTCACTATAGGCTCAGTATGTATGGTCGCAGACTCGACACGCATGAGCTCTACATCAATATTAGCAACTTTGGCCTACAACCCAAAAGATCTTTTTGTCATAGGCACACCCACTTCATCTCCTTGGTGAATCAGAGAAATTGGCACATTTTCATCAGATGCAGATGACTCCATGCTAGAAACCAAGCGCCTAGTAACTGAAGGTCTTGTCATAGTAAGAGAAGGCGTGGTAGTTGTGGCACCAACTTCAACGTTCAACTGGACATCTACGAGGAAGATGAGACGTTAGTTATCAAATAGAAATTAACCACGTCATCACAGAAAAAAGCATACTTGAGATACGGGACAATCCTCCAGCATCATATCCTCACAAAGATTCATCAGGTTTGGTGAAGTAAGCGTCGATGTCATAATTGACATGTCCTTCCTCTTCTTCCTCCGAATCTATCCCATCATTATGTGTGGAGTCTTTATCTATAAAAAAGAGATAGACGTCGTTAGGATGCAGATATACTGAATCAGGATAAATATAAGAAAAAAAATATTACCTGAGGCTTGATAGGACTCATGTATGTGAACCTACTTTTGAATCTTGTTTTGATGATTTTGCAAACAATTTATAATATGTTTTTCAGTATTTGTTTTGTTCCAGGTTGAGTATCTCAAGAGCCACTTTTATAACGAAGCTCATTCAATTCAAGTCAAATCTAAGATTTAGCTTATCATGCATATCTACTTGATACAACTAGAATAGGACTTTATACTGTGTGAATATATCTCAAGCTCATATCCACATAACACACACTTTTGGTTTCAATGTGTTTTTGACAATATACTGAGATATTAGTGTATAGACTTAAAATTTACTTTATACAACTATTGCTTAGTCTATAAATTCATTTGAAAAGGTTTCATATCCTTGTTTATCTCAATTGTCCAAAACTAAGAATATTATACATTCATTTTTACATGCTTTTGCAAAACTAAGAGATTTTACAAACGGAGAATCACATTTAGAAAATTCCTTTTGAAACATGTTCATCTATATGTTTATAAACTATTCTCCAAATTTTACATTTTTTAGAATTTATTTGATATTTTTAACAGAGTCTAAGATTTAGTTTTTCTGTGCAAATTCTGTTCTGTGCACGTATAGTCGACTCATAAGTCGACTTACAAAGTATAGCGGAATAGCTATTTTTATCTGCTGAGTCGACTCATATAAGTTGACTCATTAGTCGACTTATCAAAGAGTCGTTGCACAGTAACGGCTAGTTTTCTGTTTTGTGTGTTTTTGGCTTTTTAGTCTTTTTCCTTAGGCTTTAGCTGATATATTGAGATGCTATATATACCCATATGCTCTGAATTCTTCAGATAACTAAGAAGATTCTTTAATCAAGTTTTAAAAGAGTTTAGTTTGTGTTTAAGAGGTGTTTAAGTCTTGTTTCAAGTTTGGTTTAAAGAAGAGTTTGTTTTACAAAGAGAAGCTTGCATCATTTGTTGAGGAGTTCATCCTCAATATCCAAATCATCCTCTCTTTGTAGAGAAGTTTTCCTAACTCAACTTTCTGGCATTTATTTCTTATTAATTTTATTGCTAGCTTCTATTGAGTTAGAATTTATTTAAACTCATTTATCACACACCTCATTAAGCTTGTTATATCTCATATAATATATTATTGGGTAGTGGTGTGTGATCAAGTGAGAGTGAGCTTAATTGAGTTCTCGCCAAGTGTAGAGAACAACCATTATTATATTGTGCTAATTGAGAGATCACTTGTAATACACTTATACACCGAGAGGAGTGTGTGGTGAGGACGGAGTCGATACCGATAGGAGTGGCATCGGTGATCTAGTGAGAGGTGATAATTTCGAGCACTTGAGGGAGTCGATACGTGAGGACCAACACTTGAGGTTGTAGCTTGTGTATGTACATTGTGAGATTTTGTGAGAGTTGTTGGTTGACTTGATAACCGAGTGTGTAGAGAAGTTCCGGCTTCCAAACCGGGTGTGTCGTGATAGTGGAGTTCTCCTCAAGGTGAGGAGCAGAGATGTAGGTCGTAGGGACCGAACTCCGTGATCATATCTTGTGTTTGAATTTGCCTTGTGTACTTTTATCTTGTCCTTGTATTTTACATTCTAGCTTATATATATCTCTTGCAAGAATTAAATAATCAATAAAGTTTTTAATTTGGCATAAAATCGAATTAGATTAGCATAAAACCCTAATCCCCCCCCCCCCCCCAGGGTCTAACAAGGTTG